TTTCCTAGAAAGAAACAGCTATAAAAGTACCACATTAGCCCTTAAGTTTTTTAAAGATTACCTAAAAAAGGCTGGGAATTTAGCTCAGTGGTTCCGCTACCTGCCTCACAAGTACAAGGTCCAGAAGTTTGATCTCCGGTGCAAAAAAAAAAAAAAAAACCAAAAAATTTATTTGAAAACTGTGGGATGAACGGGCATGAAAGAAACCAACTCCACAGAGCAAACCTGGGCCAAACAAAGAGAAAAAGAGGATAAAAGTACACACTGCAGCTAAGAAACAGCATAGGCTACCATGCAAACACACACAATAGCCTAACCCTCAATTTAAAAAAACAATCCTATTCAAATCCTCTTTCAACTTCTTTAACTGCTTATATTTATCCTTCAGAATTCAATATTATAAATTCATCAGAAGATCACACATAAAAATATTCCTATTACTTATTACTAGCTACCTTTTAATACTCTGGAGAGCATATAGAATTTAATTATTAACTTTTATAATCAAACTAAATTTTTAGATTGCCAGGCTATTACAGACATTTAACTAATATCTTCCTTCATAATTAGAAGCATGATCCTAACATAGTTTTCTGGTATTTCAGAAACATTCTCTAGTCTCTGAACAATTTTAAAAAAACATAGGGATAAAAAAACAATTTTAAAAAAACATAGGGATAAAAACAAGGAAAGAACAGAAGAAAAACACAGAAAGAAAGAATAAAAACTCTGCATTTTTTAAGGTGAGACTATTAGGTTCACCTTGTTAAATAATAGGAGCATGCAGTAGAAATTGGTGCCCATAATAGGTATAAATTACAGGAAATTAGATTACAAATAATGAGATGAGATGTATATGAGGATAAAACTAAGAGACACTAAAATGAGAGTATCAACTTTATGCATCTAACAATAGGGCCCAGCTATGTCTGAAATGTTCTCTAAAATGATACTAAATAACAAAACATTACTCCAACAAAAAAGTATATATGTAGAGAAAAAGATATTATAAATTCATCAGAAGATCACACATAAAAATATTCCTATGACTTATTACTAGCTACCTTTTAATACTCTGGAGAGCATATAGAATTTAATTATTAACTTTTATAATCAAACTAAATTTTTAGATTGCCAGGCTATTACAGACATTTAACTAATATCTTCCTTCATAATTAGAAGCATGATCCTAACATAGTTTTCTGGTATTTCAGAAACATTCTCTAGTCTCTGAACAATTTTCAACATAGGGATAAAAACAAGGAAAGAACAGAAGAAAAACACAGAAAGAAAGAATAAAAACTCTGCATTTTTTAAGGTGAGACTATTAGGTTCACCTTGTTAAATAATAGGAGCATGCAGTAGAAATTGGTGCCCATAATAGGTATAAATTACAGGAAATTAGATTACAAATAATGAGATGAGATGTATATGAGGATAAAACTAAGAGACACTAAAATGAGAGTATCAACTTTATGCATCTAACAATAGGGCCCAGCTATGTCTGAAATGTTCTCTAAAATGATACTAAATAACAAAACATTACTCCAACAAAAAAGTATATATGTAGAGAAAACAGGGCTCTATAAAATAGAGCTAAAAATAAATCGATCTAACACATCCAAGTTTTAAGCTTCAAACCCAAATAAAGCTTTCATGCTGTTGTCTTTATTTGCACAATACTGATATAAGAGAAAACCAAGGCTCAAAGAAAGCAATGATATCAAATTAAAACTATGAAATACACAACTTGAATTTAAGGGCAGGTGGCAGTTGTTGGATTTTTCTTTCATTTCATTTGAAAGTGGGCATAGAACCATAATCCTAGAATCTAAATTACAGAATAATCCAAAAATCACAAATGCTTTCTTGAGTTCATGCATCTGAAGCTACAATACAGCTTTCTGGTTTCTATTTTCATTGACACAAGTGGATAAAATAAGGAAATGGCAATAAAATGGATCAGAGTGAGGTATGAACTCAACCTCTGAAAACTGTAAGAATATCAAAGATAAAAAAATAAAGATCTAGCCCTTAACACTATTATATCAACCTCTCTATATTCTTATCTTAAAATGATCAAACATTATGCCATGTATTAGGAATGTTCTAGAGACAAATGAGACAAGATCTGGCCTCGAGTTAAAAACTGAAAAGTATCTGCCTGGGTCCAGAGTGACATCCACTTTGTACAACTGCTATATGAAAAGACACCTGGGCCGATTTAGCTCAGTGGTTCTGCCACCTGCCTCACAAGCGCAAGGTCTCAAGTTTGATCCCTGATACCAAAATAAATAAATAAATAAAAGACATCTGGTCTGTGAGTTTTAATTCCAGATTTGCATGGACTTTTCCTTATCCTCTCCAGATATAAGTCGACAAAAATCACTACACTCTAACAAATGAATTTGTTTATTGTCAGGGATCAGATTAAATGAATTTAAGATGCCTTTGCTTCAAAACTACTACTGACTCTTAATTCTATGATACAGTATAACTATACCATAGCCTTATTCTTAAGGTGCATCTTTAAACTTGGCACAGTAGTGCACACCTGTAATCCCACTGGGAGAATGAGGAAGGAAGACTGTGAGTTCTAGCCTAGCCTAGGCAACTTAACAAGACTGTGTCTCAAAATAAAAAATATAAAAAAGGATAGGAATATAGTGCAGTTTGTGAAGGCTCCAGTTTCAATCACCAGTACTGCCCCCCCACAGTGTATTTTAGAAATAGAATCACCGCACATAATTCCTACTAATACCTTCTAAAAACAAAAAGACTTCAAAAGCACTTACCAAAAAAGTAAACAATTGGAGTAATCATATTTGTTACACTCATATCTCCCAGGCTAAACATGCTTTAGAAATTTGCTTTTCATTCCTGATAAACAACTCTTACCTCTACAAGGCATCTTTTTTTAAATCCTAGGAAATAATTAGGAATGAGAGTATGTGAACTACAAGGCAACACTGAAATATCATTCCACATCAGCTGCACTATTAGATTTCCATGAGTTCCAGGACTACCCTGGAATCTAAAGGTGACAACACTGGAGTGATTCCTAGAGAAGTCATGTTGAAGAACTTATTTAAATGCAATAATTCCAGCCACAAAATTCAAAGTAATCAAACAAATATTTAGTAAAAATACCGCGAAATTCACGACCACATTAAATCAAGGTACTAAAGGCAGAATTACGATATTGTCAGTTTCATTTCTACAATTCAATTATTTCTTAGGGGAACTGAAAATGGAACTTCATAAAGTTCACTCAAAAATGTATAAACTGAAAAAAACAACTGACATCCACTAAGAATTCAGATAATTTCCAAATCAAAATAAGACATTTTGTTGGGCAGGGCAGGGATGTAGCTCAGTAAGAGAGGGACCGGTGCCTGGCTCTGCCATGAGAATGGCAGCTGGGACTGCAGGGCACCCAGTGTGCAAGCGCTGGAGCCAGGCAGTGACTGTGAGTGGGACAGAGAATCCGTAAGGCTTTGGTGAGCTCAGCCAGATGGCCTCTCATCTCTTCACTGCATTTCTAATTCTTCAGCATGAATGAATCAAAACTGGTTTCATAAGGATTTACTTCAGCTCATACAATGAAATAAGGCCTGCACAGTAAACAGGGACTGAATTTATCCAGTCATCCTGATCAGCAAGGATACCTGGATGTTTTAAAGATGCTTTTTATTTACTTAGATTTTATTACCCTTACAGACCTGATCATAACAAAGCAAATACCACAATGTTTTCCAGGCCAACTCACATAGTGGATTCTGTTACCTCTGACATCTAACAGATCGTATTATTTGGTCTATAAAGAGTGTCCCAATTTCCCACCTCTTTCCCTCACTCTCCTAAGTGAATGCCAGCAATAAAACCATTCAGAGAGATACCCCTCTCAGACTCCTTTAATTTATAGTCACCATATGTCTACTACCACACTGAGACCTAAATATAACTAATTATGACATAAACTTTCATCATGTAGGACATATTCCTTATATTGTCCTTCAGGTTTTCAATTCTGGCTATAAGAAAATTTAATTCTTTATAATTACTGATCCCTGAGGTATACAGAAAAAGCCACTCCTACAATTGAAAGCATAAAGTTCAGTATCTGCTCTGAGGAATAGAAGGTGGTGATCTGGCAGGTCTTCGCTTTTGAGAATGTTCTTATTTCTCTTGAAAGACGAGACTTTTTTTTTTTTTTTTTTTTTTTTTTTTTGTACCAGGAATCGAACTTGGGTCCTTGCATTTTCAAGGCAGAGGCAGTGGAACCACTGAGCTAAATCCGCAGCCCAACAAGACAATATTTTTAAGAAAAATTAAAACAGAACATGAATGGCAGAATGTATGATAAAGGACATTAGTGAAATGGAAATCAAAGACTGTGTATAAGTGAAGTTTCCACAGGGGTTTTATGAAAAACAATTTAGAGCAAAACTCATCTGTGACCCTCAAGTGGCAGATCACTCTTGTTAAAGCTTCCCTCTCAATTTCACCGCAATGCATGGCCAAGCTAATACTCTAAAAAATTTTAAGATGTAGATGTAAGGATAAAACAAAAAAAAAACCTTATTCTAGAGGAAAAGATGGAGATCAACATGGTTTTTTCAGGGGTCACAAGGGATCCTACCACAACAGGATATAATGCTTATTTTTAAGGATTACAAAAAGTGGAGCCGAACAGTAAAATGAAGCGCAACTCTGAGGCCTTAAAATGCAAATGTGGACCTGGTAAACGTTCCCAGTTAAAAGTAGAGAAATTTACCTACTATTTCTAATTGTTTATTTTTTTTGGTACTGGGGATTGAATACCTATTTTTAAGATGTCAGTATATAGGGTGATTTGGAGAGGAAAGGATAGAAATACAGGAAAAATGTGGACCTACACACAAGAACATGTGTACAATATTATTTTCTAGCAGACTTACTGTGCCCACAGTGTATAAGGTAAGAGGAGGGGTAAAGCACTACTAGAAAAGGCTACATACTGCTGTCCACGCATTTCTTTTGCACCGGGCACACAGCCATCCATCACAGATCTCATGAGAAGGGACTCCATAACAGCCTAGAAATAAGAATGTGGATCCACACATTAGGTCTCTCACATCTTTAAAATACTACATATCTCAACACCAAAATAAATAAAATCAGGTTAACTACCTACCATACCATTTCTTATTTCCACTTTTAGAATAAAATAAAAGCAAGCCTGACTCAAAGATAATTTTGGTTCTCATTCTTCATAATTAATAAGAATCAGACCCAGAACACATGAGCATGTGGATCTAAATGCTAACTAATCCTCAACAGAATGTGCAATAATAAAACTTCTCAACTAATCTTTCTCTCATGCATAAACATTTCAAAATATGTTCCAATTCATGAAAGGAAATGCTAAAATAATACAATAAATATATTCTGACATACTAGTTTTGTAATTAATGTAATTTACATTTACATTTCAAAAATCAAACCCAATTAGTCATCATTTCAGTGACAGGGCAAAGACTGTACAACTAATGATGAAGAGATGTCTTCACTTCAGCTTGTCTAGGGGGTTAATGCCAGGCACACAATAACTAAGAAGATAATGGGGTACAAATACGTGTGGTAATCATGCAACATGGAAAAACATGTTACCTGGACTTCTTGAAGCAGAGTTTTAAATGACTTAAATGAGTAACTTTAACATCAGATATTGGTAACATTTGAGGTGAGAACAGAAAATAACAGAAAGGTAATTACCCAAAGAAAAAAACACTCATAATTAACCAAGTCTATTAAATACTAAGCTCAAGCACATGTTTATGAACTATTATGGTTAAATTAATAACTGCTGCATTAAGGGACCAAGTCTGAGTCCCTATTTTGGGGGTCCTACTACTGTGTCTTTTGAATATAGAAAATAATGTATAGTAAATATTGTGTGACCAACTGGTATCAATACAACAAAAAGATTATATTTCAGGTAGTTGATGTTCAAATCACTTCAGAAAGCTGATGGGCTACTGCAACTCTAATATTAAAAACTATTAAATACAGAAGATGATAATTATGTTATAAATTATCCAAACTACATTGTGTATATCACATATGAGTACATTAACAGAATATGTGATTGAGTAAATTCTAGAGCAATAAAATGTTTTAAAATTGAGTTGTAATATATAATAGATCCCTTTTACATATTCTGTAAGATTTACATGCAGGCCAATGTTTATAAAATATATTTACCACTTATCCACCTGTGTAAATGTAACAAAATGAGACAGTTATGGAACTTAACCATCTCACTCCAGGGAATGAACTGCTGTGATAACTGTTCAACCCAGAAGGCAGTAGAGATTTCTCTACTCTTATGATAAATAAAACTTTTAACTCAGTGCAACAATAACTCTCCAAATCATTTCCCACTAAAAAGTCACAAACAAAACAGTCATCAATCAACATCAGACTATGAATTGTTTTTACAAGCTACACCTTAAAGTAAGGAAAATTCAACCATTTGAAAAGAGGCAAAGGACACCTCAGCAGAACCACAAACAAAAAACCAGAACTGCTTTCTACTAGCTCTGCATACAACTGGACACAAAAGAATAATTACATACTCATACTTTCCATGGAGGAAAAAATTAGCCAATCATTAAGGATCACATAGTTCAGTAGACTGGCAGGTCCCAAAGAGGTGAGAAATAAAGCCTATGTGAAGCATTCAAAAGCTGGCAATTGATGAATTAAGGATTTATTTACTTGCATGAACCCGTACACAGCACTTTGCACAGGAAATCAGAAGACTTGTTCCATCTTCTTCAAGGAAGGCATTGGGTGGAGAATATTCTATATTTTCCTCACTGTAAATAAAACACATCTCTGGGATGAGCGGCTTAGTCTTTCCTCCAGACATAACCACTTCATTTGATTTTGTCTCCCATCTAGAATCATTTTCTTCATTGCTGCTATCTGGCTGAAAAACACAAGGATTCCACATGAGTGAAAACAGAAATATGCTCATCATTCATCCTGCTGACTCTAGTGAATCCTCACCTGTATGACCCCTGAATTCTAACTTTTGTTCTTCACGTTGCTCCCCATAATCAGAGAATTAGCTTTTTAGCAATGCCCCTCCTCAGATGCACATGCAGAAGCTAATTTGCTAGAACAAGAGAATACTCTGAATGCCTGCTCATACAAGAAACTGGTGAGCTATCAATCCCGTGTTCTTCAGAAACAGCTCATGGGAAGGATCAATTCTTCTGATGAATTTTCTTTCTATCTTTACTTATAATAAGCTAACACCTGACTTCATCTAGTGAAAAATATCAGCTAGTAACATTTGAAGGAGTGTTTTAAAAGATGCCAGTTTTAGTCTAGGCAACAGAATTCAGAGGGGCATCAAAGATATTTGAATCACCACAAAGGCTTAAATAGCAAGAAATACAACTGAAAAATGTGACCAAATAAGAAAGGGTCATGTGCCAAATGAAACTGTCATCTTTCACCAAAATATATGAAAAATGCTTAGTATTTATTTGAAACTATAAGTAATGCATTAGCATATTATCTCCAAAGATAATACATTACCCAAATTTACTGTATTACTTGGAATTTTTTATTATTGGGAAACATATAGGCAGATTAGAACATCAAAATCAGACTCAATAAGAAAAGTTAAGAGCTGGGGATTTAGCTCAGTGGTTCCACTGCCTGCCTCTCAAGCACAAGGTCCTGAGTTCGATCCCCGGTACCAAAAAAAAGAAAAGTTAAAATGCTGAAACTTAACAGCAAAAGGAAAACAAAAGTAATATGCGTCACTCACCAGTGACATGTCAAAAAACACAAAGAGGGTAAACTACTTCTATTTATTATGGTTTAAAAATATGGAACATTCTCTTGAGCTGATACATCTGAACAAAAGTTTACCTTCACATGGAACTCTAAGAGAGAGGTGATCTTAAATTAAGATCCTAATTCTGTTAGTGAAAATATGACAAAAACACAATATTCTTATCAATACACTTTGTAATATAGCACCTTAAAACAGACCATGTAATTCCACCTGTGCTAGTTCCTAAAGATTGTTTCATCTGCGTTAGTAAAAATGTGACCCTCCTGGAGTTGAGATGCTATCAGCAGAACACACATGGAATGATGATAAAAACATCAAGCACAGCCGACTAATGACAGGGAACAATTCAGTCTACACACAGGCCTGCCCTGCCTGGGTCTTCTGCGTGTTCCACATGGGAAGATGAAGACAGACATTAAAACTTTAAGCCATAGCTCACATTTATACCATTTGAGAGTCACGTTTTCAAAATAAAACAGAAACCATATCTAAATTCTCTCTTTGCAATGTCCTATTTTTAAGCTTTAACTTTGGTGTTTCTTGGTAAAGGGACTAGAAAGCTTGGAATTACTTCTTCCTTGGAAAAAACTGAGGTATTAAAGAAAGAGAAAATATTGTCAAGAAATGGCTCATATAGCAGCACATAGGAATTGTGTGTTGTTCTACAAAGAACATTAGCTAACAAGTATTACCACCTTCTTTCTGATGAAGCCTACAATGAGTCAAAGGTGACTTCACAGATGTAGAGTCATACAGAGAGTACTGCAGGGAGAGAAGGTACCGACAGTCACACTCCTGATTACCTTGAAGTATGGCATAAGCAGGGTGCAAATAGCACAGTGTGGCTCCATTTTTGCTGCGGCTGCATTATATTCCTGCTCAGCCACAAAGTTAGGGGACCTCGTCTGCCAAAGGTAGATGAGAGGCTTTGCCCAAGACTCTGTTTCTTCCACTTCCTCTTCTATTGATGGAACCTCCAGCAATTCTTAAGGAAGAGGGCATGAAAACACAATGAGCAGAGACTCAGGGAAGAACAATTCTCCTTATATAAAAGAAGTACATATTACAAAATATCCATGATATGAATGACAGATACTAAGCTATTTTGCCTAATAATGCACTCTGAGAGAAACAGAATAAAGCAAGTTTTGTTTTCATCCATCAAAGACCAGATCAACTCATATGGCCAGAAAAACAGCTTACCTCTGTCACCTTTCCCATCCCTGTCTGGAATCACTACACTGTTCCCTCCTTTCAACTTCATTGTGTTTCAATAGCTGCCATAATGCTACACATGGTAAAATAAATTTATGTGCATGACATTATCTTCCAGTTATTAGGGAATTATCTAACCCCATTATTGCCTTATCGATGTTTTATCTTTTCTCCTGTACAATACTTGGTTTAATAAAGATTTATTAATGAGACTTCATTACATTTATTTTTGGGTTCAAGAATCAGTGACATCTACACAGCAATTATATGTCAAGTAATACACTGGCAAAACCCGGATACAAAAATGATCCCTATGCCAAATTTTTTATTTGTTCTGTACAAAGTTCAAAATGGTCAAATCTCTTAGGCAAGCTTTTCTGTTACTAAGAAACAGCAGAGATTAACTCCACAAATATACCACTTTAAAAGAATCTTACAGAGCACCAGAAAATTACATAAAAGCATGGCATGTTAGGAGAAAAAAACTTCTCTCGCTCACAGCAGAGGACAGTATATTTCAGAGCAAGCAGCAGCAAACACAGTACAACTTGTGCTTCATGTCTAGAATTGGTGACACAGCCTAAAATTCCCTGTCACAGTATGGAAATAATTACTGGAGAGCAATATCTTTAGCTCTAAAGCACTGAGGAACCACTGTGTTCTAGCCCATGTTGTGTTGACTTACCAGTTCTACAAAAAGTTAAATCAGATGGAAACACAAAGAAAAATGGGAAAGTTTGAATAAAAGGAATGATCTGTTTCCATGATGGTGGTATTATCAGCATCACTGGCAGTGCATGTGGCACTGTTGCTGTTACAGTGAAAAACGCATGGCACTCAACCAGGGGCAGAGTATTTGAAAATATAAGGTAATGCTCTTTGCCTGTATTTATAATACAATAATTTGCCACTAAATATGAACTGGATCCACATCAATTGCTCTACACTGCACAACATTAAGACATAGCACAGAGATTAAGAGTTGACAAAGGAAAGACTGGAATTGAGAGTTAACCAGAAAATTTAAGTACCATTAAGTCCTGCACTCTTAACCTAACATCTCCTACACATATTATATATGAAATTTTTAAAAATTTGTATGTGCATATACTACCAGCACCCTGGGAGGCTGAAGCAGGAGGATCTCAAATTTGAGTCCAGCCTGGGCAAGTAAGACACTGTCTGAAAAGAAAAAAAGGCTCAATGGAAAGGCCCTTGGTACAATCTCTGGTACCAAGAGGGAGGGGGGAACAGCATGGTAATGAAAAGACATTGTGAATGCTTACTAGCTTATATATAAGTTTATTATACCACTTGTTTTATTCAAAGAGACCAAAACATAAAAGATAATTGAAGCTCTAAGCCGTAGGATTGCTCAAAAATGAATATGAAGAATTATCAAATCTTCCCATTCCTAAAATGTAAAGATAATGATAAAGAAGCAGAGGAGAGGATAGTTGCCAGCTTCTCCTTCCATTCCTACAGCCAGGCGTGGCCTGCAGTAGGCTGATATAATTAAGACGATCTTCAAACTTTCTCAATGCTACCCTGGGAGAGGACTCTGCACCTATCTGTGGCCAAAGATGAAGTTGGAGACTTCTGTGGGGGGAACACCACTGATTATGCCCAAAGCAAGCTGTAAGCAGGGCAGGCTGTAAAAACCCCGCAATTGGCTTATTTCAGGAAGTAAGTCCGGCAAAAGTATATGAGATAACACAGCCAGTGTCACAGTGACTCTTACCCAAATTCCATTCCCAGCCTAACACAAGAATGCTTTGTCTCTTCTTTTATAAGCCTTGCCTGCACAGCAACATATCCCTAGCAACCACAAACAGCCCCTTCATGTACCCACTTTACGGCAACCTAACAATGATTGTGTCACCAGTAAACATCAACAGTTCAGACCCTTTGCTTGCTCAAGCCTTTGTTTGCTCAAGCATTGGTCATCCCAGCTCCCCATCTTTGTTTTTTTAATTATGTCTTTATGTCTTTCTCCTTGCCACGCATTGTAGCGCTGAGCACATCAGGATCCACTGCAGGGGCCTCCAAAAGTCTTCTGCCATCATTATGTCTTTACCACCACTATGTAATCTTGACTATTAAAAGCATGATGGCAGCATCAGTGGGCAGCAGCAAGAAGGCCTGGGTGTCTACAGACCTAGCACTGGATGCAAATTCTCTGATACGGGACAGAACAGATTCTCAAATGGAGATGACTCCTTCATCTATTTCAAGGTTTAGTTTTTTTCTTTTCAATATTAAAAAAGCAATGTAAAACTTTTTAAAATTTTAAAGTGATATGGTTCTCTGAAAATTCTCTGTAATGAAAAATGTATATATTCTTATATAATATCCACCCAGCCATCTTATTTTCTTTTGATCTGTTTATCAAATTGATCTTTCCTTGGGGCAAGGAGCCAATCCTAAGTATGGTGATGGTTATTTAGACTTTAATAAAGCTTGAAAGTAAAAAGTATTGGTAAAGTACATCCTTGAATGTAAATATCTTGTCATGTTGAAATTTCCTCATCAAGCTCTTCATTCTTCCCTACCTCAAAGAACTCCTGCCTGCCTTTCATCTCTGCTGCTATAGAAGCACTAACTAACCTTGACCCCCGTCTTTCCCAGACTTATGATATTCATATAACTAGTAACCACAACAAAGTACTAGGAGAGGAGGGGCCAGGAGTCCCTTCACTACTCAAATCACATGACTCTAAATACAAACTCCCAAACACCATATTCCATTCCTCTTCCTGATTCCTTTCAAAGTACCTTTATTTGCTGCTTTCAAACATACCTGGCGTCTTTCAATACCTAGAATAAGGAAAGTGGGTGTTTTGTTTTTCCACTGTGGCTTCTAAAATTTTTTTGATCACTTGGCATCATTAAGCCAGTGAATTTCCCCATTTCTCCATTTACTCCCTCTACAACTGTAGCTGACTACTTGACCTCTAAATAGTTTATTTACTGCAACAACTTGTAAATAAGTATCTTACAACATGACATATTTCATATCATTCCATGTAAAGAAAAATTTTGTTATATTTCATAAGTTTTAGCACATTGGGTTTCTATTTTTATTTGTCAAGATATTTTTCAAATGTCCCTTTTAATATCTCCCTTGATCTAATGGTTGCTCAGGAGCATGCTGTTTAATTTCCACATATGTGAATTTTCAAAAAATACCTCCCATTATTTATGTCTAGTTTCATAGACCAGTAATCAGAAAATATGCTTCCTATAACTTCAATCATCTCTTCTGCTTGAACACACCTGCTAAAAGTACTTCATGCAATTTTTCTGTACAGTCGTTGTGTTTCTTAGCACCATGTATGTTCGGCTCTTTTATGATTACTACTTACTTGATGGAATACTAATTTTATGTATTGTTTTCCTCATTATTTGTCTATCTGAATTCTCTCACAGCTCACTGAGGCACTTAAGATGATTATTTTGACTTCTTTGTCAGGTAGTTTATAAATCTCTATTTCTTTAAAGTTGGATACTGGTACTTTATTTTTTCCTTTGGTGGTGCAATGATGCCTCTGTATTTCATAATCCTTGTGGCCATGGAGGGGTATCTGTGCATTAAATAAAGGCACATAATTATAAGTAGTGACCTGTTCTACTCTTATAGTTCAGCTTTGCAGGGAAAGCCCATCACCCATGAGCCTGTCCACAGATTTGAGCAGGCTGAGTGGTGGTCTGCAGACAGACCCATGGTCAGAGTTTCTGGACATGTGAACTGACCCAGTGTGGGGTGGGGTTTAGAATTTGGGTCCAATGAATCGTGCCAATACACTGTGTGCCCAAGAGCCAGCCTAGTGCCAGAATCCATGCAGCTTTTTTTAAATTTCTGTTCTACATAAAGGTGCTATAATTTATCACTTGATTACCTTAATACTTGTGACAATACTGCCATCTATCAATAATTCCTCAAGTCAGTATCTGTGCTAAGGGACAAGTGCTAGAGACTACATTACAGATGGCAAACCTTTAGAGGTTTCCATGATACAAACAGCCCACTGTGCACATGTGCTGCAGTTCAACACTGTTCTACACAGGAAATCTCCAGTTTATGAATGAGTTCCATTCTGGGAGAACATTCATAAGTTGGATTTCTTCACAATCCAACAAAATGAGTCTTGTACAGTACACCTATGAATCATATACAGTATACATGTGAAAGTTCCCAACTCAAATGTTCGTAAGTAAGGGACTTACTGTACCATCATCTTGTTGATATTCCCCATTATTACGAAAATAAATATAACTCTTGATGCATCTATCACTGCTACACTTAAATGAATTACTATAGTATTGAATTTTTCCTGTTTCAATTTCCTGGAAGTAAATCAATTAGATAAACCCAAAAAGAGAAAAAAAAAATTTGGGGGGGGGTACCACGGATTGAACTTGCTAGGGAGGCAGCACCACTGAACTAAATCCCCAAGAAATTCCTCTGTGATCTCAAAATATCTGAGGATAAAAGCTCCTGAACCCAAAAAGATTGAGAATCAATTCCATTTACATGCAGATTTGCATCCAGAAGTAGTAGCATTGCAGAATCACTGCTGATAGTACAGGCCTGAATAAAAACCTGCTGTTGACTGCTCCTGCACCCCAGCAAGAATTTCCTAAGCAGCTTTAATAACCAACATGAGAAACTTAAGCAAAAATAAACAGAGTCAGCACTCCAAGGTTTCCTTTCCCCTCTTTATTCTTTCTTTGATTCTTCCTTGATGAGCCTCTCATTCTATAGTGGAA